CTCCTGGGGTCAGTCTGGCATTGCAAAACCAAAAGGTTATTCCCCTGTTCCTCTATGCCACTTTCCCCTCAACCTAGCTCCTGGTGACCAAAGAACTTAAGAGTACTGACAGTGAAGGCCAGAGAGAGAGCTCAGCAAACTGAAGTACTTGCTTTGCATGCAGAAGTCTTCAGTTTAATCCTCAGTACCACTTGGTCTCCCAGGTATTTCTGGAAGTAGCTCTTGAGCACCATCGGATGTGGGTCCAAAACAAAAACAAATAAGAAGTACTGATAGTGAAACTGAAGGGAAAAAACAAGTAATAATTTTTTATGTTTATTCCTAGCTTGCTAAGGGCTTTTTACTTTTCTAATAATTACTGTTTTATTTATATTGGGTAATTTTTGCATCTTAAGATTTTTATACAGATTTTTACTAATGCAGATATTTAAGCATTATCTGTGATATTTCTAATATAAAGTCAGTTTTCCCTTTTTTTTTTTTTTTTTTTTTTTTTTTGCTTTTTGCTTTTTGGGTCACACCCGGCAATGTACAGGGGTTACTCCTGGCTCTTCACTCAGGAATCGCTCCTGGTGGTGCTCAGGGGACCATATGGGATGCTGGGAATCTAACCCGGGTTGGCCGCATGCAAGGCAAACACCCAACCCAGTGCGCTATCGCTGCAGCCCGTTTTCCCTTTTTAGGACAAAATACTTATTAAAATTTTCCCTTAAAATTTTTTTAATTCCCTCCACATTCTTACTAACTTGTATATTTAAAATATATTAGCACAGAATTATTTATGTTATTGATTTTTTTAAATTTATACCTGTAAAAAGGGAAAGATACACAGCTTTAGAAAACTATTTTGAAGCTTATTGATTTTGTGGAATTTTAGGAGTTTAGCTTTATTCATCTAGAACGTGTAGATGTTACCATCTTCACAATAAATTTATTTTTTAAAGATTAATATGTGGGCTGTTAAGAAACATGATAAGGATACAACAGATGGTCAGTGTCATTGGAACTGGAGGTTTTTGTTTTTGGGGCACACCCCAGCAGGGCTCCTGGCTTACTCCTGGCTCTGTGCTGAGGGTACCTTGGCAGGCTCGGGGGACCATATGTGATGCCAGATAAAACCCAGGCTCACCATGCACAAGACAAGCACTTTATCCACCATACTAACTTCTCTCGCCCCATTCCTAGAGAATTTGTCTGTAGAACTGAACTTACATGATGGAAGGTGGCGGAGGGCACTGGAAAGAGCCCTTGGGGCACCAGCAGAGGGAGATAGGCATTCTGGTGAGGTGTGGTGTTGGAATGATGTAAGCATGAAGAGTATAATTAACAGTATTGTAGAGTCCTGATACTTAATAAAAATGGTAAAAAAAAAAAAATTCTGGGGAAACCACATACAGCAGTACTCGGGGTTACTCCCGGCTCTGCAATCAGGAATTATTCTTGGCAGTGCCAGGGAAACTATGCTCAGAGCTTACACCTGGCTCTGTACTCAAGAATTCTTCTTGGCAGTCGCCGGTTATTAAACCTGCGTTGGCTGTGTGCAAGCAAGACAAGCACCTTACCCTCTCTGCTGTTGCTCTGGCCCTGTTGAGGACATTTTTTAAAAAGCATTTACTATGTTTAATAGGAGCTAGTAACTGCTTAAAAGGAGATAAGGGAGATGCTTCATGAGAAGTAATACTGTTTATTCTACCAATACTCTACTCGATTTTTAAAATTTGAAGATTATGACACAGATTCACCCTTTGTACCCACAACTTTGTACAGACCCCAAAGGTTTTGGCATAAAATGTAGGGTTTTTTTTTTTATAAAATATGTCAGATATAAGTAAGCCTGTGTATAAAGGTAAAGGTAAAGGCCCTCCCGTTGATCGTCGATTTGCTCGAGCGGGCCCAGTAACGTCTCCATTGGAGACTTTGTTGTTACTGTGTCTGGCATATCGAATACTCTCAGTAGCTTGCCGGGCTCTCTGAGAGGGGCGGAGGAATCGAACTCGGGTCGGCGATGTTGGCCGCTTGTAAGGCGAATGCCCTACCACTGTGCTATCGCTCCAGCCCTTAGCCTGTGTATAAACCTGTAAATGAATAACAGGTTATGATAAAAGGCTAAGGGAATAATTAGGTCTCTGTGTGAGTTTTTTTGTTGGTTTGTTTTGGTTTGGTTTGGAGGGACCACACCCTACTGTGCTCAGGGCATTCTCTTGGTGATACACAGGGACCATATGGGATGCCAGGGATCGAACCATATGCAAGGCAAGCGCCATTTGTGCTGTTCTATCTCTTTGGCCCAGTTTGTATGTTTTCGCACATACTATTTATATAGGGCCTTTCAAGCAGTGCTCAGGGGTCCAGGTGATATTCCTGGTGATATTCAGCCATCCAGCCCACAGTTGAGTGCTAAGGCCCCTATGGTGCCAAAGGACCTTCAAGACCACTCCTAGTGATATTCAGGAGAAGCATGCCAAGTACATACCTTATGTCTCCCCAACCCCTTTGTTTTTAAGTTGGAGCAGTCGTGCATCAACTTTCCTTGTCAGTGATTCTCAAAGTTAACCAGCTACATCAGAATTCATCATGGTTGGGTTTTTTTTTTTTTTTTGCAATGCTGCAGAATTAAACCTAGGTCTCATGTTTGCGAGGCATTTGCTTTACTGCTGAGCCACACCCCTCATCCCCATTTTTTAAAATTGAATTTCTTATTTAAAAATACAAATACTTGCTCTGTCACCCCATCTGTCGCCGTAATTTAGTCCAAGTATATCAATCTCTTGTGATGAGATTTGGGGATACCTATTATAAATAGGATTAGGTAAATCATTTTGCTAAAGAACGACAGCAGTGATCATTGAGATCTTAGGAAACTGATGAGCTCTTTGTCATATGTTAGTGAATGAATGTCACAGTTATGAACAATAGATAGTACTCCTAATTATAAAATAAAGATCATTGCATTATTTGGTTGTTAGATTTGATTGGCGAGAAAAGACCACTTGTATCCCTACTCTGAATCCACTTTCTTTCATCAAGATAAGCTGCTAATGTTGCTTCTATACTTGTTTTTTTTTCCCCCCATACCCCTAGTTTTTCATGGAGAGGATAAAACTATTGGTGACTGGTTGAGAAATAGTATTTTTCTGAATTTAGAAAGCTGTGTTCTTTTAAACCAGTGCCATGGTACTGATCTTGAAGTGTGTAAATTGTCATTCTGGGGACTTAAGGAAATGCTGACAAATGTTGAGTTTTCACAGCTTCTTATTAAACTGAGCATTGGGATGGTTACATCGTCATCTGGACATCATCATCTAGACTGCAGCACGGGAAAATTGCTGAGGGATTGGGAGAAGATTGTATCTTATCCTTGTGCATTCTCTGTCTTTAATTCTCTGGTATCCTGGAAAATACCTGACCAAAATATATGTGTGTGTGTGTGTGTGTGTGTGTGTGTGCGCGTGCTTCCATCTTAAGTCATGTTGCTATTGATTAGGGGATATGCTTGCAGTGCATTTTGAGTGTGATTATTTTTTAGATCACAGCATAACAAACTGCTGTTTCTCAAAGTGTCAGTATAAATTTGCAAACCTCCTATTACAGATTGCTTGATTTGGCATTTAAAGACTGGGATTGGTCATTTGATGATATTGATGGTGGTGATGATGATGATGATGACGATGTTTTTGATTTCTGAAGAAATAAATGGGGTAAATGAAACAATGGAAAATGAGTTCTTTCGGTACTTCCAAGTAGCGCATGTGATTTGCACTGGGTTTTTATTATATTTGACTAGTTTTGAATTTTCAAGTTGGTGTCAATAACATTTTAAAACTAGTTTTCAAAAAAGTTTCTAACTTGAAATTTTTTGTGTTAAGTATAAAAGTGAAATGCTATGTTCAGATTCTTAATTGACTGCATAGTCTCAATTCAGCTGGAATTACAGTTTTATGAATGACACATGCAGAAATAGAAAATGAAGCTAATTCTGGTACTTTTTATTCCAAAGAAGCCATATTCAGAGGAGAAATAAAATCTAGTGTTTTCAAGTTCCTGCAATTATATTAGTTTGTGAACATAGCATGAAATTCTTTTTTTCTCTCCATCCATTCTCTTTCATTACCTTTTTCTTTCTAACTTGAAAGAATTGAAACAAAACTGTAAAATCTAATAAGTGCTATGAAATACCTTTTTCTGCTTTGGTTTTCTTTGTGATGTTGTGAAATGTTTGCCTTTTGAATATTGAGTATTCTTGCTGAGGAATGCTAATGATATGTTGTAAAAATTCTTGTGCTTTTAGAAAACAAAGTACTTTGGTTGATACAGACTAAAGGAGACTTAATGAAATTGAGCCTCTCTAGTTACATCTTTTACATGGCATGGATTTTAAAAGTCATGTCTATCTTAACCTGAGCATGTGACTAAGTTAGGTAATATTAGAATCTGTTTCTAAGCAGGGTTTACAGATTCTAATGCAACAGTGTGTTTGTTCCCATATATATGCATATATATGTGTGTATATAATATTTTTAATGTGGCAGATTTAGATATACACTCTTCAGTCTTTTCACTTATAGTCTTGAATTTTTCAGTGACATATTGTCTAGCATTAATAGCAAGTTAACCGTTCTGAACCTGTGTGGCATGTATGCTACATGAGAAATGTAAGAAAGAATCTCATTGCATGTACCTAAAAACTAAGAGAAACAGGGTCAGCTAGCTCAGTGAATTGAAGGTATGCTTTGCATGCAGGAGACCTGGGTTCCATCCTCTGCACTGCGTGGTCCTCTCATCACCACTGAGACTGACCCCCAAGCAGTGCTCTGATCCAGAAAGCCTGAAAAAAAAAAAAATAACATAGTAAATACAGTATGCATGATTTAGGTTTTTAAAAAATAGTAGTTGGAAGATCATCTAACTTAATAACATGTATGGAATGAGTTTTCAGAGGTTTTGTGATCTCTCAAATTACTTGTTTTGACTAATTTTTTTTGTTGTTGTTTTTTTCCCAGCTAACTGCCTTCTGTGAATGCAGTCATTATTCAAGGTGATAATTTTCTCCCAGTTAAGACAAGACTGAAATGTGATGGCCCAAAAATTATTAAAAAGTTATATTTTCCTGAGAGACTGATAATACACAAGCATCTATGTATATGTTTCCTTTTTTCCTGCAATATATATTATAAATCTTGGAGAGATTTACTGGCTCTTTTGAAGCAACAAAGTGAACCAACAATAATTAGTAGAGTAAGGATGTCATGTACAACTCTTCAACATTTGTTCTATTAAGCTATCTTGGCAGTTACACTACATTGTTCAAAGGAATTGAGAAGAGTTCAAGTTTACGGAAATCATCTTTCCAGCTTCAACAGAGAGATTTCACCAGCACAATTACCAGAAGAACCTAGGAATGGATTCCACTACAGTGATAACAGACTACATCTTTAAAAAGTGAACATTATATTATGTGTATGTACATATGCATACACCTTATACACATACATACATATTTATATATATATATCGTATGGCGAGAGGATTTTTTAACTTCTCACTTTATTTTTTATACACATTAATCAAATATCATTACTTATTGCAGTTTCAGCTATGCACTTGTATAAAGCCATAATGTTGGAATTTGTCATTCATTCTTGTGTACGTGATAAAACTTGCATGTTCAGATGTTAAAGCAGTTGCTGTAACAAAAAGTTTGAAGTTAATTATATCATTTCCCTAATGCTCCGTGATAGGCAACTTTTAACCATTTTGAATGCCTTAATTTAATTTTTTTTGTCTCATTCCTTTTCTCTATTTAAAAAAAAAAGTTTACCAGCTCTTAGGATGCAAATTTGCTTTTGCAGAAGAAAAGTAGTGCACTATTTTTACACATAGTAATTATCAGTGTCAGCCTATTTTGATTGTATAACAATTTTTTTAAGTATTGGTGATAGAAAAATAATGAATAGTATTGAAACTAATATATCTTTTATGTGTATTTTTCATCCATCCCTTTTTTTACAGACCTCAGTATTAGTGTGAGACTATGAAACATTTTCTTTGCTTTGAATTTGCTGGTTATCCTAGATGTGTTCTTATTTCTTGTAAAGACGTTTGTGACTTTTATATTTTCACACTCAAGATTCAAAAATTATCTCAAATATAAAGAAACAAAGACATACTGTAGATATATTTTAAATATTTTAATGTGATCCCTTAAAATTTAACTATGGATGGCAATATTACTGTTTGGGTTAAGAAAATCGGTGTCTGGGTGTAAGTGGTGTCAAAGGCATTCGAATTTGGGGTTTTCTCTTTTGGTTTGGTTTGGTTTGGTATTTTGGTTTGGGTGGTGCCAGGGCTTCAAACCCAGGGGCCTCGCAAAGGCAAGGCATGTACTCTTCCGCTGAGCCACTTTCCCCAGCCTAGTCCTTTGATTTTTAAAAAACTTTTCTTGAAGTTAAATTGGTTTATAGCATTATATGTTTCAAATACACAATGTTACAAATCAATATTGTACAGGTTACATTGTGATCCCCTCCAGATTTTATGTTCTAAATGCTGTTAAAGTTATGTTAAGACAAAAATCTTGCTGTTTCTTATTCCAGAATGTTTTATTCTGCTACAGTATGTGTCAATGATAAGCTTCAAGTTAAAAACTTACGTACTTTATCAGTCTGTCTTTGTATACATGCAAATACACAAACTTTAAGATCTATCATCTAACATTTCAATGAAGGAAGTATACATTTTTCACTGATTCCCTGTGTAGAAGTGTTTAAAGAGTTAGCTGCCCAAATAGAGATGCTCTCGTGGAAGCTGAAGAGAGGCTCTTGGCCTGCCGAAGTCCTGAATCTTATTCTTACAACACGCAGTCTGCACTCTTTCATGCTGTCTGTGCTAAAACTAGATATGCATGCCAGGTTCCTTACAAGTATGTTTTTTGCAGTTCTAGTTTTGGGGCACAGCTGTTTTTTAAAGTAAGATTAAAAAAAGGAAAATATATTAAATTTATATAGAATAAATATTTGCTTTCATTAGACTTATTAAAAGACTGAATTAATATTTTATATAAAGATTTTGTTACACTATGGGAGGTTCTATCATATTATTCTGAATTGGAGAGTATATATATATTTTTAATAGACTTTATTAAGGTGAAATAATTTGAAGTTTACACATGAGTAATTGAAATATTTGAGTAAAAATGGCAAAAGTTTAAATTTTGAATGCTGTATATATGGAAATCATGGTGTGATGCAACTACACAAAGAAAATCAATGTGAAGTTTGGGGGTTGCAGGTTATTCTAAGGGGTGAAAAAAGATCTCTCCCATGGAGATTCTTCACATTTTGTGGTTTGACATATAAGGTTACTTGTCCAATTCATAGAAATATGCTTAATAAAAAAAAGTTCTGACCTTGGGTAAGAATTTGCTTTTTACCCCGTTCCTGGTTTCATGTACTTGTGTGCACGCGCCTGTCCAAATGTTCTCTTCCCAACACTCATTAACTACGACATCGACTTGGTTTAACAAGCTGATGTTGTGCCAGCTTCTCTTTCTTGAGGCTTCAAGACAATTAGACCAAAAGCTACTATTTCCTGGATACCTGATTTCTCCTAGAGCAACAAATACCTCCTCTAAGAACTAAGAAATAGTGAATATTGGGATTCTTTTCATTGGGTTTTATGTTTGTTCTGTGGGAAGAGTGAGTCAGAAGTAGAAGGAAAACTGGTCAATTGTACTCTTGAAAAGTATAATGAATTTTTGAGAATTTTTTTAATGCTGTGTAGAAGCATGTTTTTTTTTTTAAAAAAAAAAGGTTTAAAACAGTTTGGCTAACTAAAGGATAAGTCTAAAGTCAATCTGAAATTAAGGTGAGTATTTTTAGAGTATTTTTGGAACTAACCTATGCTAGAGTTAGACAAGTCTGGCTCTGACGAATCTCCTTTACATTGGTTTATCTCTAGATCCTCAAGAAAAAAATCCTCTAGTTTGCCAAATCACAATTGAAGTTATGCTGCTACTATTAATTTGTACTGAAAGGATTCTGACGGTAAAATAGAGAAACTTAGACACTATTTTATTGGGGGGAAAAAAAAGTGTTTAAAATGCTTTGAGAGCAAGTCCCTTCTGAGTTTCTCGGTCTGTATCCACATTGCTACTGTCTCTCCTCCCCTTGAATAAGGCTTCAGCTTCCCTATGTTGTGAAGATAATACCAGAGTTGATTTGTAAAGCACTTTGAAGATGAGCACTGTTTGACAGTGCTAAATAGTATGGTTGGGGGGGGCCTCTCCTAGATTCCCTTCCTCATAATAATGAGTTTTGTTTGGAATTGTAATAAGTTATGAACTGCATGATTTAGATAATCATAAATATTTGATCAGCTGTCCCCTTTGAACAAAAATTTAAAAATTATGTTGCATCTTTGTAGTAATGTAATGTATTTTATGCCTGCTTTTTATTAAAAAATTAAATAAAAGAAATTAAGACAAGCACTAAAATACTTTTCCTGTGAATAGTCTTGGGATGCTACATACTTCTAAAATGTACCCCCAAAATCTGCCTTCGCTAAGGTTTAGCAAAACGTTGTATCTAAGGTTACAGACATGTGAACATTTGCCCTGATAGCCCACAGAGAAAAACAAATAAAAATTCTACCTAGAAGTCTATCTGTGCTTTGGTTTAGAACATTTTAAGAAGCATGCAGCCTCAGTAAGTCTCATTTCAAGGTCAAGAATAACAGGAAGGCAGAAAAAAAAAAAAGACGGATGCCATCTTTCCTTATGTCAAATCGTGTGCTACAGTAGTTGTGCTAAGAATGGTGTGCTTGATGAGTGCTTCTCTAGGAAGTACTTTGGTAATGTGGGTTCTTTTTTAGGATATTTAGTGTCTGATCTGAATAGTTTATTCTAAGCCTCAGTATTTTCATCTATAAAATGAAGATTGTTGACTTCTAGGCTTGTTGTAGGATTAAATGTTAGTTCTTCTCCCTCCCAACGCAGAAGAATGGGATCTCCTGGCAAGATAGTGTAGTATGAAAGGATTTGCTTTATTTTGGTTTGGGGGCCACACCTGGCTGTGCTCAGGAGGCCAGATAAGGTCTGCATGGGCAAGGCAAGCGGCCACCTACCACTGTATTCTCTCCAGTCCCTAAAAGGATTTGCTTTAAACCAGTGGTTCTCAACTACTGGTCTTCAGACTAGTGCCACTTGGCAGAAAAACGTCCTGGTAAACGAAAAAGTTCTACCTGTTTAACACCTGGGAGACCTGGATCATGTCGCTGAAGCACAGAGAACCTATCACAACTAGAGCGAGTAACAGTCTTACATAATGATTTTGCCAGACAGAAGTATTTCTCATTTCCACTGGTCTGCATGTGTGAAACCTCTGCTAAACAATGATAAAGCGGTTGCGGCTGGAGATACAGTAATACAGTAATGTGGACGGGGTTTTGCCTTGCATGTAACCAAACCCATCCCTAGCATTCCATGTGGTCTCCCTGACATCACCAGGAGTAATTCCTGAGTGTAGAGCCAAGAGTAAGCCCCAAACATCACTAGGTGTGCCCTCCAAGCATAAAAAGTACTAATAAAGGTATATAAAAAAACTAAAAACACAATTTGCACTGTTGGTCAGAATATGACATATAAGGAAATTTGATTTTTTGTTTGGTTTTTTGGGCCACACCCAGCTGTGCTCAGGGATCACTCCTAGCAGAGCTTGGAGGACCATGTGAGATGCCAGGGCTTGAACTTGGGTCAGCCACATTCAAGGCAAGTATTCTACCTATTGTCTTGCTCTGACCCAAGGAAATAATGAGCTGGTATACAAAATGAATGATCTTTATTTCTACAGTGTTTCTTCCTGCTAGCTCCAAGCAGAAATTCCAAGATTAACCACAGCTTATAATTTTAAAACTCAACTTTACATAAATTAAAACTAATCAGAAATAAAACCGATGGCTGTTTTAAGACAGTTCAAAATATGAACGTTTATTTTACATAGGAAACGAAGACATTCTCTAATAAACAGTATTACTCTATACATGAGAATTATGCCACTGATTACAAGGGGAAAAAGCTAAGTGTTAGGGTTTATAAACTTACAGGAAAATAAAACAATAGGTTAATGTATTAAAAAATCCATAAAAACTTGGTAATACTTTTATACTTTTAACAAATTTATGATTAGCTCAATTGTATCAAATTCCAATAATAGTGATCATGTGGGTATATTTCTTTTTAAGATGGTAACATTGTGCTTGGAATCATAAAATTCACCAGAATTGCCTCATATAGTTGAGATTGTGGCTAACAGTACCGTCTTCCACTTTTTAAGGAATAATTTAAAGGCACAGTACAAAATTAACTTTTAGCATACGAACTTAAACCAGTTACATTTTACTAGCTTTGAAAATCATGCTAATCTAAGGACAATATAATACAATAAGGTTCTTTCTATCTAAACAAACTGAACATCAGTCCCATTAAGTGAATTAGTGATATACTACACTTCTGGCTATAAGCCAATGCCACATCATTTTGTTCGTTTATGTTACACAAAGGATTTATTTAAAAGATTATGAAAGCTGGCGTTGGAGAAACAGTGTAGTGGACCCCAGTTTGATCCCTGGGACCTCATAGGTTCCTGAGCACTGTGGGGATGGCTTGGTTAGTTCTGGCATCACAGACTAGGGCCCTGACCTCTAGACAACTGCTTGGAAGCCCATTCCACCAAAACATAATTTTTAAAAAATCGTGAAGGCTGGAAAACAGGTGATTCTTTCATTGGAAAGAACCTGATCACAACTTTTTGTTCTTCGGGGTCATACCTGGTTGGTACTCAGGACTTAATCCTGGCTCTGCGCTCAGAGGTCACTTCTGGCAATACTTGGAGGCCATAGTGTTTGCCAGGAAGCAAACCCAGTTTGGCTGCATGCAAGACAAGCACTCTACCTGCTGTACTATCACTCCAATCCCTGATAACTTTTAAAGTGTAAGTCAAGGAAATCTCAAAATGGACTTAATTGGGGTCAGAGAAATAATAATACAGGGGCCAGCAGGGTGCTTGCTTTGCATGTGGCCAACCCTGGCACCACAATGGTTCCCTGAGCACCACCAGGAGTGATCCCTGAGCACCACCAGGAGTGATCCCTGAGCACAGAACCAGGAGTAATTAGTGAGCACCACCAGGTGTGGCCCCCAAACAAAAAAGGATGATTTTTGTCATCACTCTTCTCAAAACTGCAGATGTCGAATTCCTACCTTAACCCAGTGAAGCTGGAAGGAAATGAACATCCTCTCTGGTGGTGGGGATAGGAGGTTTCAACAGACAGCGGGAGGCTATTGTATGTGTGTGTGGTGGCGGGGGAGGGCTATTTTGTGTGTGTGTGTGAGTGGTTGTGTGTGTGTTCGCGTGCTCAAGGGAAGCTATTCTATATGTGGGGGGGAGGGCTATTTTGTGTGTGTGTGTGTGTGTGTGTGTTCGCGTGCTCAAGGGAGGCTATTCTATATGTGGGGGGAGGGCTATTTTGTGTGTATGTGTGTTTGTGTGTGTGTTCGCACTCTCAAGGGAGGCTATTCTATTTTTTTTTTGGGGGGGGGGCTATTGTGTGTGTGTGTGTTCACGTGCTCAAGGGACCATGCAGTGCCTAGAATCCAGCCTGGCCAGCATGCCAAGTGTGGGCCCATTGAGTCATCTCTCTAGCCCTAGGAAATGAATACGCTTAGAAATGTTTAAGTGGCTTAATTTTAAAATACCTTTGGCTTTAAAATTTCTTAATCAGTTGACTAAATTTAAAAAGACCTTGATTGAGCAACGAGCTTCCCGCCCCCCCTTTGACTCAGTTACTCCAAATCCACTTGGTATGCAGTCATCGTTTCCATCATTCAGCCTTTGTGACTGTCTTCCGGTAGCGCAGTACTGTAATTGTTACCCATATATTTAAAGCCAGCATGACCACAAAACGCAAAAGGACTGAAATCAAAAAGAAAGAAAAATTGTTAGTTAAAAATGCTGTTTTCATATTATAAAACAAAATTACCTCCTGCTCTAAATAGCCTAAAGCTTCAGCATCACTTCCACCACCCCAAAATGAGGTCTCCACAAAAAAATGACTCTGGATCATGAGAATTTTTAAAAAACATAAATATAGGTATTTCTGGAAAAAGAAATATGATTAACATGGTTAATCAAACCACTTGGTCTGACTTAATTAAGCTTTGACTAGTACATGTTATAGTTTCTTAATAACCATTATTATCATTACTGCTTTTTTGTTTTGATTTGATTTGAAGGATGGGTGCTACAACCAGCAGTGCTACTCCCAGCATGGCACTTGGGGGTTGCTTCATGGTACTTGGGGGACCAGACAGTGCTGGAGATTGAACCTAACATGCAAAGTACCAGTCCTCTGAACTATCTCCCTGGCTCCTGTAGCACTGCAGCACTGGCCTCCCCTTGTTCATCGATTTGCTCAAGCGGGCCCTGTAACGTCTCCATTGTGAGACTTGTTCCTGTGTTTGGCATATTGAATATGTCACGGGTAGCTTGCCAGGCTTTGCCCTGCGGGTGAGATACTCTCGGTAGCTTGCCAGGCTCTCCAAGAGGGGCAGAGGAATCAAACCCTGGTTGGCCAGGCTGGCTGCGTGCAAGGCAAACACCCTACTGCTGTGCTATCGCTCCAGCCCGCCCTGGCTCCTAAGAGCTTTTATTTTTGAAGCTTTATGCATGGTGGTATCAGAACATTCCATGTTAAGCAAAGATGGTATATAGGATATTAAGTTAATTCTAATGTATTATTATTATTATTTAATGGGTAGACTCTTTTTTCACCTCAAAGAATTCGTCAAGTTCTGTGGAGAACTTGGTTAATCAAACCACTTGGTTTGACTTAAATAATTAAGCTTTGACTAGTACATGTTGTAGTTTCTTAATAACTATTATTATTATTGCTTTTTTTTAATGAATAGATCTTTTTTTCACCTCCAAGAATTCGTCAAGTTCTGTGGAGACTCAGACCTGACTCCTTTCCTTACTTAACCCACTTATACTTTGACCTGAACAATTTCAACCCTTCTCTTAGAGCTGATAAAGAATTTGTGGCAAAGACATAATCTCCAGAAAGGGGCTAACAAATGCATCCCAATGTTGCTTAGCTCCATGTTCTCAAATAATTAGCTTGTCTCAAGGGTCTGTATCTTTTATCAGAGTAAGTGACAGTCTGTTGTAATGATTTCCCCAAAATTTCTATGTCTGACTAGGTCATTAAAAATAGCCTAAAGGATTGATTGAATTTAGGTTAACCAAAGTAGTTTATTTTCTCCATCATAGTGTCCCTTAACAACATGTGAGTCAAATGATCCTCATTACCCTCCTTTGAAAAGCCAGCCTTGGGGCTGGAGCGATAGCACAGCGGGTAGGGCATTTGCCTTGCACGCGGTCAACCGGGGTTCGATTCCCAGCATCCCATATGGTCCCCTGAGCACCGCCAGGGGTAATTCCTGAGTGCAGAGCCAGGAGTAACCCCTGTGCATCGCAAGGTGTGATCCCCCCCCCAAAAAGCAAAAAAGAAAAAGTTAAAAAAAAAAAAAGAGCCAGCCTTCTGCTTGGAGGCCATTCTCTGGGGCTGAGATACTTTTAGCCATACCCTGGTTCCCTCCTGTCTCTCACCAGCTTCCCATGCTCTGCTTATTAGCCCCAATAAAGCCTCTGTGGCTAAACTATGCATCCTCAACTCATGCCCTTGACTGTACGATATTCCTTATCTCCTCCCCCAGATAGTTTTTCAAAGTAATTTCTGGTTCTCTTTAACTAGGGGAGGTTCCTTTGTCATTGTTCTTCCTGTGCTATCTTTTCAAAATACACCTCAATACTTTTTTTTGCAGGAAGGGGGGGGGCATTTGGGGGGAGGAGTTGGGCCACACCTGGCTGTGCTCAGGGGCTATTTGTGATTCTGTGCTCTGGGATCACTCCAGGCAGGGCTTGGGAGAATAACTGCAGTGCTTGATTTGAACCTGGTTGGCTGTGTACAAGTCAAGCACCGTACCCACGGCACATTCTTGCCCTTTCAGTACTTTAAACACTTAATTCTGTAATGATTCCACTGTTTCTGCTACTAGAGTGGGAACTCCATGAAGACAGGATTCTACAATCTAGTGCAGAATCTCTCTTAGATTCTAGAAGTAAATTCTTGAAACTATGAATGGTGACTGATAAAGACTGAGAATACGCTGTGGAGTCGAGGTGATCCGTTAAACCCATTAGATTTATGGGTTTTCAAAACTAATACATCTAATTAGTGTTATGAATGAAAGGGACACATGGCACAGAAGTCAAAAGATGTGGCAAGAAAATATTTAGCTTACTTGTAAGATCATTGGTGGTCATTAAAGTTGTTATTATTCTCGCTGTAAAAGAAAATTTTCTACAATAAATATCAACTTGTCTCAGATATTTTAATGCTTAGCTACTATCTTTCTCTTTTAAATACAGGAACCAGTGCTACTAGACTCTGGCAGCTCAGAAAACAAAAAAGTCCTCTATTATATAAAGCTTCTAAAATCAAGCCAGATGTCCCTGTCAGTAGTTGCTGAAGCTGCTTACAGGAACTGACAGCTCCTAGGAGGTAATTCAGTGCTGACTAGGGAAGCCAGGGCTCAGCTGCCCTTTCACCAACTACACCAACACCCTTGAAAGCTCCTGCACCCCAAGAGACCCTTGAAAATCCCTTGTGCATGCTACACTTCTGGGTAAGATTTCACCAACTCATGGAATTCGTGCCCTTTATCCTACATATAATGAAACCAACACCTAGAAAAGGGGTAACTGGAACTATTCCTTTTTTTTTTTTTACATAATACTTAACATATCACTTGGGAGATCAGGATAACAGTTTAAACACATAAGATGCAAATTGGGGTTCAGAGACCATCTGCAACTCAAGATAAGCTTTAGCATATAGCACATAGGCCCTTGAACATATAGAAGAATATCCTGTGCATATATAACAGAACAATCTGGAAACATACAGAAACATATAGGTCCCTTAACATATAGAAGAGAAAGAATATGGTTCGAAACTAGTAGGTCTAATTATGTGATAGCTCTGAATTTTTTTAATGTCCTAAATATAGCATATACATATTTATGTGTATGTATGTATATATACACATGTATATCTATTTTTTAGGCAGTTTTAATAGAATCTAGACACCGAAACTCAAGATCAAGCAATGTGACCCCAGGAATACTTCAATGCTGCAATTATAGTCATTCTTAAAATATATTGTATGACTTGCATCTCTAATCTTTTATAACATAAGAATCAAATTTTTAAATGTCAGGGGAAGTCCCAAATAGTGCTCAGGGAGCCCGGGAGTAACTCCTAGCAGTTCTCAACTAACTGTACCAGTGTTTCAATGCTAGGACTCAAGAACCCAACCAAGATCAGCTACATGCAAGGTATGTGCCTTAACCCCTATACTATCTCTTCAGCCTCTAAATATTATTATTTAAAAACTTTATTTTCAGTTTTTGGGCCACACCTGGTGGTGCTTAGATGTCTTCCTGGCTTTGTGCTCAGGGACCACTCCTCAGGGCTCGGGGGATCATACAGTGTGCTGGAGTTGGCCACATGCAAGGCAAGCATCTATCCTGCTGGAGACTATCTCTCTGGTCCCTTATTTTAAAATTTATTAAATAAATTAATAGATTAAAAGTAACTGGCCTGTAAAAAATTTTTTTTTTTTTTTGTTTTGGGACCTCACCTGGCTATGCTCAGGAGTTACTCCTGATTCTGCATTCAGGAATTACGGCTGGCACTGCATGCATGGGGTGGGGGGTGGGAGATCAAACATACCTCATTGGGTATGGGAGATCAAACCCGGATCAGCTGCATACAAGATGCAAGACAAGTACCCTACCCCCTGTACTGTCTCTCTAGCCTCATAATAAGACTCTTACTACCTGACCATGTCAAATGAGAGGCCTATTGTTTTTAAGTCAGATTTTTGAAGAAAGGTATATGTGTTTGCTCATTTTAGCAAGTAGAACACGGGTCCTATAGAAAACAGCACTCTTTAATCAGCCTTACAAATACAGGGACACTAGTAGGTTCAAGCTATTTGTAAAATATTACTAAAGATTAAATGTATGCATTTAAATTTTTGTAAAAGCTAGAATATTAAAATTTGAAATTAAACACTATTGTAAATATTTCAAAGAAATTCATGAAGTTCGTGACACAGGCCACCCCACCGTCCTTAGAGTCTTGTTCTTACTCGCACAGGTGTAGGAAGCAAGGATCCAGGTCAGAGCACTCACAGCCCCCGAGTCCCCTGTCTTCCACAGGTACTGGAGCTGGGCAAACTTACTTGCAGCACTGATGAAAGTGCATAAATTCTGTTTGCAGATAAAACATGGAAAAGTTAGGGATTTCTTGGTTTAAAAAGCCTTTGCATACCAGCTACCAAAATTGCCTTTAAAGCCAGAGTTTCAGGTCAACCAGTAATCAAGTTGTATAAAGCCAAAATCCAAGTGGTGAAAAAGAATGCAAGAGAAATGGTCATATACTTCCTGATCCACTCTTCAAATCCCATCTCTTCAAATCTCCACAGATGGGGATTTTGAGGTCCTCTTAGGTAGAAAACACAGGGCTTACCCCTTTCCCAGGAGGAATAGAAAAGGTGGGAGACAGTGTTAGAAACAGGACGGGTCTAACGCTAACCTGATCAAAAGCTCCACATTCTACAATGGTTTATTAAAATTTCTAGTTTATGCTCCACATTCTATAACGGTTCATTCTACAGCTGTTATCTACTTTCTCAATCTGGTTCTCTATGCCACTTCCAAAATAAGTTTTAGAGGTTTTTAATATAGTTAAATTAAAAGAATATTTTAGTATATGGAGATTGGTGTTTTGGTACATCTGGAAAAGGTGCAAATTAAACATCTGGCATAGAAGGTTCTTTGCAGGGCAGGTGGAATGGGGAAGAGAGGACACTGCCATTTCTCACCGTATCTTTACGAGGGGCAAGACCTACCATGGCCATATCGATGATCCACTTCTGCAGAGTGAGGGCAAACCAAGAGACCACCAATCTGACCCAGGGCTAAGGGAGACAGCAGTGTTCAGCGTTCAGCTCTAGCACCCACTCAACAACAGGCCCATGCAGACAAACAAAGATCACAGACACTATACATCTACCTCTGCCAGCACGTGTGCAATCTGGGAGAGCGAATGGGTTAAGTGAACACCTGCTAGGAATCCAAAAGAACAGAAGCAGATTATGGAAGAAAATAACAGTCCTGTGTGTCTGGATCATTCCTGGGATTGGAGACACTCCAAATGGGTTTGGCTTCATGCTTTAATCCCTAAGCATGCCACACACATCTCCAACCTCATGCCTCATGTTAACTCATAAAAGAGAGACCAGGGGCTGGAGCGATAGCACAGAGGGTAGGGTGTTTGCCTTGCACGCGTCCGACCTGGGTTCAAATCCCAGCATCCCATATGGTCCCCTGAGCACTGCCAGGAGTAATTCCTGAGTGTATAGCCAGGAGTAACCCCTGAGCATCACCGGGAGTGACCCAGAAAGAGAAAAAAAAAAAAAGAGAGACCAATGATAGAATTAGGCTTGCTCTGCAAAACTCCCGCCATGAGGATCTCTGCTTGCTGGTTTCCCACTAACGCCACGGCAAAAGTCATAGTTGGGATGAGTCACGCCTGAGACCAGGGGAGCAACAGTGCTTCCCATCAAGCTTGAAGGGGAGGGACTTCGCTGGGCTCTGCTCATATGCTATCTTGCACTCTGGCCTCACTTGAATCCATAAAGCCGGTAAAGGACCTGCTTAATAATGCATACACCCCAGCCCATCTCCAGTTTTCAGCGACAGGAAGGATACAGGATGATGTAAGGTGCTGCCCGCTTCACGTTCCCGTTGAAATGGAAGACACAGAGCAGAAGAACCAGGTCTGAAAGAGAGGCCCCGTGTGAGCGGATGGAGGAGGTGGAAGGGTTTCCCCGGGCACAGGGGCTGGTTACCTTGGATAATGAGAATGGGGTACTCCAGGTAGGTTAGCAGTGGGTACTGGTAGTAACACTGGTACCGAAGAAACACCAGGAATCTGGGGAGAGACAGAGAGGGGATCCCTCTGAACATGGGTTGACCCAGCCCACAGGGCATCCACGCAAGTTCACACTCTGGTGGCTGGAGGCTTCGAAGGTTAAGGTGGACCACTGAGAAGAAAAGCTAACGATCATTTCCAACGTTTTAGGAGCATCGCGGGCATGGGTGTCTGTGCTCTGTCTCTGTCAAGTCTCTGTGGACGGTCCCTTACAAACCAAGCCCTGAGGCAGATCAAGTGATAAGAGGCTTCTGGATACCCGGGGGGCTCTGGGGGAGGGTGGAGCAAGAGTGGGCAGTGGGGTCCCGGCTGGGAAGAGCACTGAGCACTGAGCACACAACCCAGCCGGGGCTTGTGGCATCCAGAAGAATAAGGTGGGAAAAGCAATTCCCCGGTTCCTCTAAGAAAATTCTAGGTCTGGAGTCTTGGGGACCAGAAAGGCCAGTGAAGACCACAGGATGGCCACCCTTTTCGGGAGAAAAGGCCCCAGAACATTCTGCCTTCCCAGGAGGCATCCCAACACCTACACCCCAGATAGGAAACAAAGTGCCCCTCTGGAATCCGGGTCCGAAAGCAGGTGCCTGACAGGCATCCAAAGTAAGGGGCAGAAACCTCTCAGCGGGAGGGCTGGGTTCTGCTGGGTCGGCCCTTAGCGTGGGGGCTGCTGCGAGCAGGCTCACCAGGCCACAGGCACCTGCAACCACTGCTCCATCTCCTCGCAGCCCGGAGGAGCCTCCCAGGGGCTCCGATCCCTCCCCGGGACTTCCTCCCTCTGTATCTTCCTAGCGTTGGACTCAGAGCCCCAGGATCGCAGGGTCTTTGAGTGAGTGGATCACTGGCACTCCCAAGCCTCCCATCCGAACAAACCTCGAGATCGGGATCCCGGGGTCACGCCTTCCCCGCACCCCGGCTGCCCCCCCCTCCCGCGACAGGCTCCCGCGGCGCACCCGCACCCAGGGGCGCCAGGGATAACTGTACAGGGGCAGAGAGGGTTGCGGGCAAGGAGCCCAGACCACGCTGCAGCCCGGCGGGACCCGAGGATCGAGTTTCCCAGAACCCCGAAACTCCCCCAAAGCGCTCGGCTTCCCGAGTATAGCTCTGCACCGTGTCACGGGGTGTGTGCCCCTTGGGCCTCGGCCGGGCAACCCAGGCGAACCCGGGCCGAGGCGCGCGCCCCCGCTCTCCGGGGCCAGTTCCCGCCAGTCTCCTCTGCGCTCCCCGAATTGCCCTGCTCGTGGGACTCTGTGAGTCAGAGCGTGGGGAGCCGGGCCGGAGCGGGGCGCAGCTCCCAGACCCGCTCTTGGTGCCGGGGCCCCTCCCGAGGCCAAGAGGTGGGTGTGGTGAGTAACGGGTGCTGGGACGGCAGCCAGTTCGCGCCTCCCCGGTCCGGACTTTCGCAGACCCGGGGGCTCCTCCCAGAAGCAGAGGCGGGGGCGGAAGGGCGGCTGTGCACCCCCACGCCGGCGCCGGCCTTACCCCGCCAGCTCCAGCAGTAAACTCGGGAGGCTGATGCCCCGCGCGCTGCGCGCCGCCAGCACGGCGGAGATCTGCGGCAGCTTGAGAGCCGCGCACACGCCCAGCGTGCTCCAGTTGCAGAAGCCCAGCAGCAACGGCCCCATGGCGCCGGCGGGGCTCCGGGGCTCGGGGGGCTCGGGGTGGGGTTCGGCGGAGAGAGGCTCTGCCGGGACCCGAGCAGCTGCAGCCCAGTGCTTCCGCCTTCCCGGGCCACCGCCCCGTCCGGACCCCGCCCGCGGAGACCACGCCCCCCGCTTGCCACAGGCCCCGCCCTTCCCCCCAAAGCCCTGCCTTATCCCGCCCGCAATTGGCCCAGGTTCTTCCCGGAACCAAGCGTACCCGCCCCCTGCCCCTTCCAGCCCCGCCCCTCTCCGGTCTAGGCCACGCCTTCTGCGAGCTGGGCCCGCCCCTCCGAGTCCGGTTGGTCGGGCACCGCGCCGCTTCCCCGCCCAGCTCGAACACGCCCCTTACAGGCCACGCCCCTTCCCGTCTGGGCCCGCCCCTGACTCGCCCTGCGGCCGCCGGTTGCAGCCCAGTCCCGGGCGGACGCGCTCGCTGCAGGCGCGCCCGGTCACCCTTTGTTCCTCGGGCCTGGCCTCTCCTGGTCGCCCCTGCATCACGCCTTCCGCCCCGGCTTCCCCGATCGTCAGTGCCCAGCGCCGGCTGCACCTGCCGAGGTCTCGCTTTTCCGTGTTTTACAGGACACTTGCAGTAGGACACGCCCAGTGGACACGCCCGGACGGTCCCCTCTTCGCCCCGGATGTTCTGGATGGACAGAGCCCGAACCACGCTGGGTGGGCCCCGTGGTTAGGGTTTTTCACGTCCTAAGAGAGTTGTTTACTTTCCTCACTAAAGAAACTTTAACACGAGTCCCCGCCACAGTCCTCGAGGTTCGGAGAGAGACATGGAAGGGGCCAGGGACTTGCCCAGTCAGGCCACTTGGTGCCCGCCACCCCCATCACCGCGGAGCCTGAACCTTAGACCCCGGGGACCGCCGCGCTTCTGAGCAAACATGCTTTCTAGGGAATGAAAGTGATTTCTCAGCATAAAAGAACGTAGCCCTTAAGACAGGAAACGAGGCCTTGGTTTCAGCCAAGCTGTCAGAATTTCGTGGATATGGAGTCCAGATTGAGACAGAAAAAAAAACTCCCTTTCCTCCCGCCCTCCCCCAGGCAAGCAACGCCAGACCGCACCCTCCAGACTGCACCCTCCCTGTGCTGTGACTCACAGGTGGGGCTTTCCCTCTGCCCCAGCCTTCACCTGCGCGTTGCTCCCTTTCCTCCATGAGGCTGAAGAGCTCAGAAGGAAACTTTACAGCGGAAGGCAAAACAGTGTGTGTTTGGGGGCGAGATGGACAGTACAGAGGGGTAGGGCTTTTGCTTTGCACACAATCTACCGGGTTAGGTCACCGGTGCCCCATACAGTCCCCCAGCACCACCAGGAGTAATTCCTGAGCTTCTGTGGGTGTGACCCTTCCTCCCCCCACCAAAAAAAAGAAAACAACCAGAAACAAAATCGTGTGTGTTTAGTCCTTGATACATAGAAATACTAAGATATTTAGTAAAATGGCACGAGGTCTGGAATTTGAGTCAAAATAGTAGAGATGGAGTGGAAGGGTGCAGATGTAGATAAAACAAGACTTGTGTGGACTGATTGATTTTTGAAGTCAGCTGAAGGTCTCTGGGTGATTGTTTTTACTACACGTGTTCCTTTTGTACATGCAGTTCATATAAAAAAGGCTAAGAAAGAAGGAAAGAAAGAAAGAAAAAAGGAAAAGAAAGACAGACAGAAAGAAAGAAAGAAAGAAAGAAAGAAAGAAAGGTCAGGAGATAGGGCCAGAGTGCATGCTTTGTTTGCTGGACATCCAGGTTCAATACTACCTGGTCCACAAGCACATGCACATCTGGGAGTACCCCTAAAAACTACAAGATGTGGCCCAAAAAGAAAAAAAAAGGTAGGGAATAGGGTTCCACTGCCTCCCTTGGAGTGTTTTGTTTGGGGACCATACCTTCTGTGCTCAGGCCTTATTACTGACTCTTGATCTGCAATCACTCCTTGTGGTATTGGGGATCGAACCCAGGTCAGCTGCATGCAAGGCTAGTGCCTTCCCCCATGTCTTTGCCTCCAGTTCCAACCACCTCTTCTTAGAGTGGAGAGTCTGAGCCCTGGTATGATTAAACAGCTGCATTATGTCACTCAGCCGACCTCATGGAAAATATCTCGTGCTCCAACACTGCCCTATACAGCCACACAACCCCCCAAATCTGGCACATGCCAAGTGCCTGGGTTCCATGACCCTAACCCCAATTGGCTGGGTCACTTTAAATCACGCATTTCTGTCTTTTGTCACTTCTGCATTCTCCACTCTAAGCTGATCCTATGGGAAGTAGCTGGGTGCTCATCCAAATGACCATACTCACCTCAGGCACCACCGGCAGTGAGAGTGTCAGTGTCTTCGGAGCCTCAGTGTCTTTTCTGAGCTCCTGGTCTCCCCCTGGCATCAGCCGGAGGAGCCCCAGGCCTGAGCTTAAGAGGGAGTCAGAAATAAAGAGCTAGGACTGGAGGTGCTAAGGGCCCCCACACAGCATCCCTGATTGAGACAGAGACACAGAATTTTACGAGTCAGCACGCTCTGGCTGAACAAATACTGGACACGCAATAGCAAGGAAAGTTCCCGCAATTGAAAGACTGGCTGGAGGACACTTCCTGGGCTCCATGAGAAATTGCCTTCCCACAGGGCCCCAGATGGCCTTGGGTACACACACATCCCTGCCTCTCTCCTTACTTAGACCCAGGGGAGGGGGGGGGCGGGGGTGGACAGGGCCACCCTACAGCCTCGTTTCATCAGCTCGGTTTTCAGGATTCTGTCTCCAATATGCCTTGGGGGTTGGGGCTTCAACATGGGATTTGGGGGGGGGACACAACTCAGCTTATAAAGTATAGGGGCCGGAGCGATAGCACAACGGGTAGGGCATATGCCTTGCATGCGGCTGACCCGGGTTCAATTCCCGGCATCCCATATAGTCCTCTAAGCACCACCAGGAGTAATTCCTGAGTGCAGAGGCAGGAGTAACACCTGAGCATCGCTGGGTGTGACCCCCAAATAAAATAAAGTATATTCATTAACCCTCTGAATATACTTACATACATTTTATGCACACACACACACATCACACAATGGACAAGAACCTCCCTTTTTGCAAAGCCCCAGATGTGCACGCACAATAAGATGAGAGGCCCTGGCCGGAGGGGCTGAGGGCAGCTGGCCACACGCCTTCCTACCCACTGACTCTCCGGGCCCCACTTTGTCTGTGTGCATCCCAGGCAGGAGTGCCCCTGAAAGGTAGCTTTCTGTTGGCAATGATGGTGCAGCTGATTTGCAGAATCTCTCGAGACAGCCGTGCAGCTAAGGGCAGACGTGTCTTCTCTGCAGCCTCCTGGGCGGAAGCTCTGTCACATCCTCTTACACTCCTTGAACAGCCTGGAGGACAGACCGCCCCCTCTCACACAGCGCCTGGGGAAATAGGCGTAGCAGATCTGTGTGCTTGGGCGTGAGATTGCTGTGGTCAATTCTACATTGGCCCTGGGCCAGCCACCCAAACCGTGTCCCGGGAGACCGTGGAATGTTCTGGAAATAAGAGGGGTCATGCCAGTCTCTGCCAAGGGGAGTGTACCAGCACAGGCTCCATTACAGGCCTTAGTACCGCCTCTTACTTCCACTTGATTAGGTTCCCGGGGAGGGCAGCGTGCTGAGTCACTGAGGGGAGCTGAGGAATAACTCCCAGAACCCTCCGCAGAGGCAGGGAGGGGCAGCTGGAGTACCACCTCCACCACACTTGCTGGCACCAGGTAAGCCGCTGCTCCTAGGCCTGGTTGTCCCAAAGGTCCTGCGTTTGCATCTTGATGCTTCCAGAAGGGATCTGGATCAGCCCACTGCTTAGCAACCCCTGGAGCCCTGACAAGGCAGGCCCTCAGCCACACCCAGCCTCAGAGCCTCGTAGGCAGCCCCGTGACTGCACACTGCCCTGTTCCCACACGCCCGGCATGCTCGGGGCAGAAGGTGTCATTTTCTCTTCTTACATTTTATTAATTATTATTTTGGTTTGCAATAGTATTAATGATGGTTTCTCATAGGCATAAGCCAACAGTCCAGCAACCACACCCATTGCCCGTGTACCCACCTCCCTCTGCCAAGGAGCCCAGACTGACTCCCGTTCACAACTCCTCCAACTCATGTGCCCTCGGTTCCCTCATGATATTGCCTTAAAATCAAAACAAAATGAGGTACCACCTCACGCCGGTGAGGATGGTGCAGACCCAAGAGTTGAGAAGCAGCCGGTGCAGGGGGTCATGGTGAGCTGGGAGTGTTGGTGGGTTCAACCTCCATGGCAAGCACTAGGGGGTCTCCAGAATTCGGGTCCCACATGACCCAGCAATACCACTTCTCGGAGACCTCATTTTCATTGGTCCATTCTTCCTGAGTGGCAGGGAGTGGGCGGGCAAACCCAATCTACCCCACTGTGGTACTGCTGGGCCTCGTGCCCAAGCTGGATCCCAGGGCTGAGGCCATAGCCAGGCAGGAGGAGTTTTGCCTGAAGTTTCAAGACTTTGGGGCAAAAGTCTGGGTGATAGCAGTCCCAGTGCTCAGGAGCTGGCGAGGGCCCAGAGGCTGTGAGGTCGTCAGCAGCCCCATGGCTGCCCAGGACAGGGCGAAGACAATCTCTTCCTGACTGGAGCCTCTCCCCGCATGCAGCTGAGGTAGGGGCGGGGTGGGGACATGCTGACAAGAGGCTGTCCTGTCCTCTCTGCTGTGTCCTTGCAAGGCTGCCTGAGCTTGAACAGGCCTTGAATTGCTTGGGTTTCAGTTTCGTCCTTGGATTATGGGGATGATTACTCATTACCGGAGAAAGAACTTGAAGAAGTTACGCTGTAGAGTAACTCAATGGTTACTCTTCCCGACCAGGGACAAACTGTAGGTTTGGGGACCTCAAAAAACCTGAGTGAGGGGAAGGGCCTTGCCCAAAAGCCTGGCATTGGCATTGTGTGGAATCGGGGTGGGGGCGGGGGGTGGGCAGGGTCTAAGCCCTGCAGGAAGGTGGAGGGCCCAGCTGAGGTGTAGGGCCCAGGTGTAGGGAGCAGGTGTAGGGCCCAGGTGTAGGGCCATGGCCCAGCTGAAGTGCCCCAATGCCACATTGATTCT